ATTTGTGTTACACTTCTCAGTTCACTCACCAGCATCACAAAACAAATTTGGACTGCAGCTTTTGTCTCTTTTAAAAGAGTTTTTTCTTTTCTTCCTGAGATGAAAAATGCTCTGTGTTTAAACCAATATCCAATCTCTTTTCTGTAAGACATTAAAAAACAGAGTTTACACTCCCCCATATATCTACAATTACTTCTAAAATAACAAATTAGCATTGCCTGTTTTTGAACTTTATGAATATGAACTTTTACATTATGCATTATTTTGTGTCTGGATCCTTTCACTCAACATTGTATTTTTGAGATTTCTCCATATTGTTGCATGTAATAGTGATGCATTCATTCTTATTGCTGTGGTCTTCTATTTCATTTTTGAATATGCAACAATTTATCTATCCATTCTACTGCTTTGGGGAATGTGCATAGTTTCCAGTTTTGAGTTATTAGAAATAATATTGCTATGAATGATTTGTACAAATATTTTGTTTTACACATATGTGCTTTTCTATTGGGTATATATACAAGGCCTTTCCAGAAGGCATCCAGCCATGGAGTATGAAAAAATAGAAACATTTATTGAAGAAGATACAAGATACAAGAAACATTGTACATAGGACAATGACGCCTCAGTCCCCTTCAAAGTAGGCACCTTGGGACCTCACCCAGTTCTCCCAATTGCTGTCAGCTGCCCCATTGTATTTTCATGAATCTCATCTACAGTCTGAAATCTCTCCCCTTTCAAAGGTGATTTTAGTTTGGGGAAAAGCCAGAAGTCGCAGAGCACCAAATCTGAACTGTACAGAGGCTGAATCACCTGGGTGGTTTGATGTTTTGCCAAAATACTCTGCACAAGACATGATGCATGAGTGGGTAAATTGTCCTGATGAAGCTGCCAATCACCAGTTGCCTGTAGCTGCAGCCTTCTGAATCATCTGAATAGTTTCCATGGAAGAGTGTTCAAGCTTAATGCAAAATTTGATTCAGATTCATTGCTCTACTCACTCAGTCATTTTGAATGTGACGGCCACACAGTACACATGCTCACTCAATGGCATCTACCGCCCCCACTGACTAGTACAATGTCACATTGTATGATGTCATCATTGTTCACACATGTGCATTCCAGTCCACTCTCCTTGGCTGCCAGGTTAGATCAGTGCTGTGCAAACTGTTCTTGTTTTATTAACAATGGCTGGACTTTTTCAGAACAGACCTCGTACATTTTCCAACACAGTCATCTATAACATGTGAGGGTTCCAATTCTACATTCGCACGAAGTTGATATAGTCCTCCTTTTTTAATTTCAGGCATTCCAGTGAGTAATCAGTGGTATCACCCTGATTTTGTGGTGTCACCCTAATTTGTATTTCCCTGATGACCAATGAAAATAAAACATCTTTTCCTTTGTCTACTGAAAAAAAGGAAATAAATTTCATATTCCCAGCATAAAATGTTTCATGATTTGTTAAAGAAAAGTAAAGTATTTATAAAGAATTAAGCTTATTAAGTTTTGGGGGGAGGGAGGGAGGAAAGCTCTGTTAAAGGAACTAATGGAAAATGTATATGCATAAACCACATTTAGAAAAAAAAACAGAAAGCTACTGTACTCTGTAGCTGCTAGGAAAGCAAACATTTTGAATCCAGGTGTCATTAGCAGCTCTGGTAATGCTGGCCTCTCTGTAGCTCAGTTCAGGATGGTATGTACCAATAGCTGAGCCCTACTTGGTTATACAAATGCATCTAAGTTTGTTGCTTCTGAAATGTCACAGGGATAATTTGCAATCAAGTCAAAATAGGGCTATGGTAATGCAAATTCTGGGACCTGCTTTCTAATAGCCCAGCTGCCTCCAGAAGCTGGACAGTAGTCCCAAGGTGAGCATTCCTTTCTGTGCATTTATTTCTTCCCCAGTCCTCAACTCCCCATAGCTCTGAAGGTTTCTGGAAACTTTAAATAAGATTCTGTCCACAGTTCTTGGGATATTATATATGAACAGCCCCAATTATGGCTAAAAATACCTTCATTTTGGCACCCCTGCACAACCTGCTCTTCTAGGAACCCCTTCCCTATGTGGTCCCTCAGCCTTCTTCTTTCTCTGTACCCGGTATTCAGAGACCAGCCTCCCTCTCCTCTGTCCAACATCCCATTCTGTCAGCCCATTTCTGATAGCAGTTAGAAAACCCAGCTTGATGAACACTTACTGTGTTGTGAATGACTAATAACCATCCTCCAACACACACACACACACACACACACACACACACACACACACACACACACACACACACTGTACCCTTCCTTGGTAATTGCAGGCTAAAGGGAATGGAGGCTGCCCAGATTTGATGACCTGTACTCAGCAAAAGGGAGCAACTCTCCAAGTGTGGCATTGAGCTAAGTGTTAGCAGGCTCATTAATGAAGTAGTCTAAAATGATTGCCTGGGGGACAACTGTCTTCTTTCTCAGAGAATCTGGGCTTTTTATAACTGTTTGGATTATCCATGAGAGGGAAGAGGAGGGAGGAGAATAGGAAAGATGCTTGAGGGAGAGAAAATGGATGGTGTAACTTCCTGGACAAAAACACAGCCTTAAAATTGGATCCCAGTTTTTGGGTTTGAGCAAACAAAATGGAACAGAAGGATTGTTTCCCTGGCTTATTGCAGTAACTACTTAAAGGGAAGATTTTTGTTCAGGACAAATAGGCCTAAGATGTGAAATGACGTTAAGGACAGAAGGAAGGAAGGAGAGGGAGGAAGAGAAAGCTACTTCTAAAGCATGCTCAGGATAAGGTGGTCTTCTTTAGACCAAGACAATAGTTCAGTAGTGATGGAGTGATTGTCTTGGCTTCCAAAAGAAACCACATCAAATATCATGCATCATTCTGGAGCATGTGCTTTGTTTATTTAACTGTTAAGTCATCATGAAGGAACAGCTGTCATTAGAATGTACTTGGTATGTTGTTGTTGTTCTACCTTGTTTGTTTAATTTTTTGGAGAGGTAACAGGCTCAGGTTTTGTGTGTGTTGTTACTGCTTCTGTTTTTGCTTTGTGTAAAACAAAAGAGCAGTCTCAAACATTTCAGAATGAACAAAAATGAAAGCAAGGAGCCTGGTAAACCCCTTTCACTTCTCTTCACATCCCAACACCTCGGAAAGAATGAAGGGGTATTAATGACAGAGTGAAAGATAGTGAGATCAATCTGTACCAATCAGATCAAGAGTCTTACTTGGAAACAAAGCATTTCATCTAGGCCAGTACAGTTTTCCAGTGGGCTCTCATGCCATGGTTTCCATTAAATAATGCAGCAAATTTATTAATATCAAATGAAGAGAAAGAGCTGCATATTTGCAGCTGGGGAAAGGGAGAAGAAAAAATGTCTTGGGATGCTTCTCAGCACAGTGCTACACACATAATAGTCACTCAATAAATGTTAGTCAAGGAATGAATTTATTTATGTGGGAGTTACTTAACTCAGCAGGGAACAAAAGTATAACCCTACACACACAATATCTTTGAAATTTTAGGTCCTTTTCTATTTGATTTATGTCATTTTCCCTTTTAAAATGAAAGCTAAGTTGGAAAATATTTGATGTTTTCCTCTTCCTTCCTTCTTCATTTGTCATCTCCTTCTGATGTCTTTTAGACACTTGTTCTTAGCATTACTCATTTTCCTCCCCACTGCTCTGCCTGTCACTCTTTAGGAAGTAAAAGACAATAGGACTAGGAAGTGGCCATAGAGCTTCCTATTTAAAAAAAAAGAAATAAAAAGCTAGTGAAATTAAACAAGAATGTAAAGCAAAGCATGTGACTCAGTGAGGTGCCAACCATGGCCACAAAGGATATTTTTAAAAATACCTTGTGAATCAATGTATAAAATACAAACCCAAGACCCTCTTTCTTTAATACAGGATATTTAAGAAGTTTTCATATATAATATAGATCAAAAATATAAAATTAAAAAGCCTTATTTTTGTTTCTGCAATTTTGCTATTTTACAAGGTATCCCAATTGATATACCAAGGAATCTATTGGTCATAATGACTTATAATGCTACTGCTACATTTTTTGAAAACTTCAGCTGATCAATTTAAGGGAACCACTCAGCAACATTTCAATATTTGGTTGCCAGGAATAAACCATAATTTCTTCTTAAGTGTTTATTTAATTAAATTTGTTGCTTACCAAAAGAAAACAATAGGGAGGAGTTCATTAGTACAGCATATGGGAGGGTACTGGAGCCCTTAAGGAGGGAAGTGCCTTTATCTTGAATTAAACTGTATCTCCTGTTTCCTTACTTAATGTTAGGCATGAAAACTGTTTTTTATTTATTTTTATTTATTTTTGCTAGGGTTACAAACAAAAGGATGTTACTCATGATCACTATAGACTCTCCTTCTACATATGAGGTATATGTGGTTTATACCAGAATGGCATGGTAAAGCCATTTAAAGAAGCTATTGTAGTCATCCAGCAACAGTGTGGAAGCAGGGGGGTGGGATGGGCAGTGGAGGGCAAAGGGGAAAAATTGGGACAACTGTAACAGAATAACAATAAAAATGATTAAATAATAAAGAAGCTATTGTAGTCATCCATAAATGTGAGCTCCAACAATGAAATTAAAATTCAGTTCTCTTTCACAAGAATGTTTTCCTTTTTCTTTTTCCTCTTCTTCAGTTTTATTGAAATACAATTGACAAATAAAATTGTAAGATATTTAAAGGGAACAACATGATGATTTGAGATATGTATACATTGTGAAAGGATTCTTCCATCAAGTTAATCAACACATCACATATTTACCTTTTTTGGTGAGAGCACGCAAGTTCTATTCTCTTAACCTTTTTTTTTTAATGCTTTAGGAATGGACTTTTGATTTTAAAAAATTGACCCTATTTGAATGGTTGATAGGAAAAAAGATGATTTGTCTTTTGTGTTTTTGTGTACCCTAGAAATCTTCATCAGACAGCTTCCTGTTTCCTGAGAGTCACTATGTGATCAGCTACAGGGATGAAAGTCTTCAAGGTGATAGGAAGGATGGTCATCCTCACCTCTGTGTTTTTGGCTTGTTCTGAGCAAAATCCAATGACTGTACTCTGTTCTATTGACTGATTCATGGTTACAGTACACCCCTTCATGTTGAACAGCAACATATATATACACTTTCTTGAGTTACAATTGGGTCTGGGTTGCCCTGCCAACCATGTTCAGCCACATATCTATAAGTTTACCTACTACGTTACAGAATGTGGCATCAGGGCTATCTCTCAAGATACAGTTATGTACAGCACTAAGATACACTATGCTTCAAAGTCTGCCTCATCTAAATACACAATCCCAGTGTCATGCACTGCCCCTAAGCACTCCCCATGGCTCACTACTCTCTATTCTGTGAAAGAAGCCAGCAAAATAGGAACCATAACCCAGGATGGTGAGACAGGCTACGAGGTGTTCACCTGGTCACAGTCCAGACAAAGGCCCAGCTGTGATTATCCACCTTGTGTCTTCAATGAAGGAGAGCATATCCAGGCCCAACATCACCAAGAAGGATCTCAGGAGGGCCATTCTGCACCGTCATCTTTTTTTGTGGATATTTCCAAGGATTGGTCCCTTTGCTTAGATGATCTACTTGAGTCCATGTGATCCCAGTTTGGGGTCTCCTGTTGATTCCCCTTCTAAAATTAGTATATAATAGTTACTAATATCAGGAAAATGTGTCCTTGTGGCCCTCCTATGAGGGCTTATGAGAAATGACAGCCTGTGTTAACTTCGTGAATACAGTTTTTTTTTTTATATTTTATATCTTTTTAAAAAGCACAAATAAAGTTCTGATGGCATAAAAATATCAGTTGGGTATTTTTATTTTATAGATATACATATAAAGCTTTTACTATGGGCCAGACACTGTTCTAAGTGCCTTTCAAACATTAGTGCCTGGTAACTTTTTTCTAGGATAACTTAACTCGTCTTTAAGGTCCATCCCCCTGCATCATCATTTCACTTGTACTCTGCAGCATTCAAAATAGTTATTAGCTATATATCTTCTTAGTTTGATCTATGGCCATATCATTTTTTTTATCCATTGGAGGCAAAGGTTGCATTAGTGATTTATAAGCCACCAGTGGTTCTAAGAACAATTCAAGTCACATCACAGTAACTAGATAGTAATCTCCTGAGGCCAAAGGCTGGATCTTACACTTTAGTCACTAATTGATAATACTTTGAAAGGAGTTTTGTGCCTTGACTTATGTGTTTGGAATATTTTTACCAGGTTTAGCAATCCATTAGTTTTTTCAAAGACTTGGATGGAGAAGGGTAAATAAATTTATTCAACAAATATTCATTGAGTGCTGCTACATTCCAGTTGCCATTCTAGGCACCAAGTATATGGTAGTGAATAGAAACTAAGGCTCAGGAAAATTGAGGTCACACAGCTAGTAAACAAATAAACAAGTAAACAGTAATTTTGATAGCAACAAATGTCATGAAGAACTTAGAACACAGTGATATTAGAGAAATTGGAAAGTGGGTTGGAGAGTCATGGAAGGCTTCTGAGGTCTTATCATTTGAAATGAGTCTTGAATGTGAAGAAGGAGCCAGCCCTGGTATGATCTGAGAGGGAACATTCCAGCATTTTATTTAATCCTCAGTACAACCCTGAGAAAAGTACTCTTATTATATCCATTTTACAAATAAGGAACCTAAGGCACAGAATTATTAAAAAATTTGTCCAAGACCACACACCTGTTAAGAAACAAACAATGTTAGCACAATGTACATGATGATATACACATAAAGTGTTTCAGTAGATGAGTAGACATTAGAAATTCAGTCATTATCTTAGTCATTTGGGCTGCTATAACAAAGTACCATAGACTGAATAGTTTATAAAAAAAACAGAAGTTTATTCTCATTGCTTTAGGAGTTGGAAATTCTAGATCACGGTACCAGTATGGTCAGGTTCTGGTAAGGGTCATCTTCTGGGTTACAAACTGCTGTTCTCTGGTTATGGAAAGGTAACTAGAGAGTTCTCTGGAAGCCCTTTTATAAGGGTGCTAATCCCATTCATGAGGGCCTCACCCTCCCAAAGACCCACCTCTTAATACCATGTGAGTGAGGATTTCAACACATGAATCTTTAAGTGGACACAAACCTTCACTCCACTGTAGTCATGGTAGTTGAAGAAACACATCTGTTCAGTTTAGGACTTCTGGCCAAGATGGAGGCATAAGTAGACACACCGTGCCTCCTTGCACAACCAAAATAAGATCAGCAACAATTTAGAAACAAGAAAACAACCAAATCTGACAGAAAAATGAACTGTACAGAAGTTGGACAACCAAGGAGTTAAAATAAACACATTCATCCAGACTGGTAGGAGGGGTGGAGTCAAGCAGCTGGGTGGGGAGGGGCCGTGGCACAAAAAGCTATGCATAATGCATCCCAGGTGCATAAGGCATCCTGAGCACACAGGCAACTGGCAGACCCAGTGAGGCGGCAAATATGAAGTAAGGCACTGCGCTCAAGGCATCTGGCTGTCCGGGCCACATTCGCACACAGATAAACCAGGTGAAATTGGGCAACGAGACAGACTGTGCAACCCAGGGTCCCAGCACAGGGAAATAGAACCTCAGGACATTGATTGAAAATACCTGTGGGGGTTGAGGAGCATGGAGAGACTCCCAGCCTCATAGGAGAGTGTATTGGAGAGACCCACGGGGTCCTAGAATATACACAAGCCCACCCACACAGGAATTAGCACCAGAAAGGCCCAGATAGCTTGGGGAAGCAGCGGAAGGGACTGAAATCCAATGGAGAGAGGAGCAAGCACCATTGTTTCCTCTCAGACCCCGCCCCCACATAAAACGTCACAACCCAGCAACTGGGTTGCCCTGCCCAGGTGAACACATAGGCTCCACCCCTCACTACATAACAGGCATGACCAGACCCCCTAAAAAATGGCTCAAACCGAAGTACAAATAAAAGCTCCAGAGCCAATATTTTTAAGCGACCAAGAGATAGCCAACCTATCATGCACAGTTCAAAACACTGGTGATCAGGATGCTCACAGAATTGGTTGAATTTGGTCGCAAATTAGATGAAAAAATGAAGGCTACGATAAGAGAAATGAAGGAAAATGAATAGGGAACCAATAGTGATGGGAAGGAAACTGGGACTCAAAACAATAGAGTGGACCAGAAGGAAGAAAGAAACAACCAAACAGAAAAGAATGGAGAAATAAGAATTCAAAAAAATAAAGAGAAGCTTAGGAACCTCCAGGACATCTTTAAACATTCCAACATCCAAACTATAGGGGTACCAGAAGGGGAAGAGGAAGAGCAACAAGTGGAAAAGTTATTTGAACAAATAATAAAGGAGAACTCCCCCAATCTGGCAAAGGAAATAGACTTCAAAGAAATCCAGGAAGCTCAGAGAGTCCCAAAGCAGTTGGACCCAAGGAGGAACACACCAGGGCACATCATAATTACATTAGCCAAGGTAAAAGTGAAGGAGAGAATCCTAGAAGCAGCAAGAGATAAGGGGACAGTCACCTACAAAGGAGTTCCCATCAGACTGTCAGCTGATTCCTCAAGGGTGACCTTGCAGGCAAGAAGAGGCTGGAAAGAAGCATTCCAAGTCATGAAGGGCAAGGACCTGCATCCAAGATTGCTCTATCCAGTAAAGCTCTCATTTAGAATGGAAGGGCAGATAAAGTGCTTCTCAGATAAGGTCAAGTTAAAGGAATTCATCATCACCAAGCCTTCATTTTATGGAATGTTAAAGGGACTTATCTAAGAAAAAGAAGATATTATACATTTCTAATAAAATGCCAGGAAACTCACAATTATGAACAACCACACCTAAAACAACAACAACAAAAAAAACTAAGCAGTCAACTAGAACAGGAACAGAACCACAGAAATGGAGATCACATGGAGGGTTAGCAAGAGGGGAGTGGGAGGAGGAGAGAGGGGAAAAGGTACAGAGAATAAGTAGCATAGACGGTAGGTAGAAGATAGACAGGGGGAGGGTAAGAATAGTATGGGAAATGTAGAAGCTAAAGAACTTATGACACATGGACATGACTAAAGGGGGGAACATGGGTGGGAGAGGGTGAGCACGGTGGAGGGGAGTGAAGGGGGGAAATGGGACAACTGTAATAGCATAATCAATAAAATATATTAAAAAAGAAACACAGCTGTTCAGTTTAAATTTTTCTGTTCCTTTTTTGGAGGCAAACCAGATAATAATCCCTGAAAACAGTGTATTCATTTAACAAATGTTTATTGAGTTTGTCCTATGTGCCAGGCATTATGTTAGATGCTAAGCATGCAATGGGAAATAAGACTAATGCAGTTTAATCAGGAGGAGACAAGTAAAGAAGTCTGAAGACCTAGAGGCTATTCCAGTTCAGGGAACAGGCTTATACAAAGACATAAAGATCTTGGTTGTGATCATCAGAAAAACTGCAAGTAGTTTAGTCCAATACAATGAGAGCACTGTTGATGGTGGTGAAAATGGGGCTAGAAAAGTAGTATACAAGACTATGTACACAAGAACTAGCACTTCACTTCCCCATCTCTTCAGAAGCTCACAGATTATTAAACACTGAAACACATATAAATAACTTAGCAAACAATCAATACTAAACATATTAGACCTAGAGTACCATATGCAAGTTGTGAATTTCATAACTGCAAGGGGCAATAATCACAAAGACACCCCCTGAGGTGTAATGTATCAGGCATAGAGGAGACTCAAGAGCTACTTGTGGTAATAATAGTCATTACCATGTGCCAGACACTTTATATACATAATCTCATTTAATATTCACAACAACTCTACAAGATAAAAATATTTACTCATTTTTATGGGTGAAGAAACTGAAGCTCAGAGAAATTGAGACTGTATAGTTAATAACATCACTGGGATTCTTTTTTTTAAGATTTTATTTATTTATTTTTAGAGAGGGGAAGGGAGGGAGAAAGAGAGAGAGAGAAACATCAATGTGTGGTTGCCTCTCACGTGGCCCCCACTGGGGACGTGGCCTGCAACCCAGGCATGTGCCCTGACTGGGAACTGAACCTGCGATGCTTTGGTTCACAGCCCACACTCAATCCACTGAGCCACACCAGCCAGGGCACATCACTGGGATTCTAATCTAGGTTTGTTTAGCCCCAAAGTCCACTTTCCCCCTATATTCAACACTCCCTCCCAGTATACAGAAACTTCCAGTTGGGTGGGAAGATCCAGGATGATTTCTCACTGAAGGTGAGCAATGACCCCACTCTTAGAAGATAGGGAGGATTTGGCTAAACAGAGAAAGGAATAATAGCATTCTTTGTGAGCATAAACACTGGGAACAGGGTGGAGAAGTGTACTGTGTTGGAGGGAGGACACTTAGGGGGTAATTGCTCTAAAATAGGTGGGAGGAGATGAAGAAAGCAGGTGGGAGAAGGAGTGGAAGTGTAGGAAGAGATAAAAATGAGTGCCCTGGCTGGTGTGGCTCAGAATTGAGTGCTGGCCTATGAACCAAAGGGTCGCTGGTTTTATTCCCATTCAGGGCACATGCCTGGGTTACGGGACAGGTCCCCAATAGGGGGTCCATGAGAGGCAACCACACATTGATGTTTCTCTCCTTC